GTTCTTGCATTTTTCAGTATCTTCTCTATTCAAGAGCATTAAGCGGTTATCACAAGTCTAATATATCTGTCAAACGCCATAAATACCTCATTCCCTATGTAAGTATGAGCAATCATGAAAAACTGGAATGAACTAGAAGGAACTTGAACATTAAATGCGTAGTGGTGAATGATGGTTTCAGCCTGAAGATATATCATCAAAGATATATCTGACGTGGAGATAAATCGTCAAAGAATCAAGTATTTGGAATGGGAAATGAAAATTGAACTAGAAACCTTCTAAAGACAAATGGGATATTCATTTTTTGGCTGCAACGCATAGTAAACCTTTTTCTTCATTATCGTCATTCAGCATCAATGCCGTCATGTTTAATTTTCATTGTACTATTATGTTGTAATATCATATTTTGAATCGCTGTTATGAGTAAGTTTTTCACGGTCAATTGCTCTGAATTTGAAATACAAATCAAGTTTTCAAGCTTTCATTCTGTTGATAAACGCTGACAGTACAAAATGAGATAGTGAATTCAAAAAGTGTATAGAAATTATTTAATCACATATATAATATCCATATTATCACATTCAACGGCAAACTGATCAAAGAAGATACCAGACAAGAAATACCGAGAGCATTCGACAGGTTGAAATGCTTTTTCAAACTACATTGAGTTGGGGTTGACGTACAGGATTGCCAATAATAAGATTGATAAATTAAAACAATTCGAATAGAAAACGCCAGTATCATCACAAAATAACAAATCTAATCATTCGTAAATATAACACGGATAAACATTCAAAGATGAGTTTTTAAAGCAGAGAATCAAAATTAAATATCAAGATGAGAACAAATCCAACAATATTACCTAGATGAAACAAATATAATTGTGGGACAGAGAACACTTGTTTTTGGGTGACTGAAGTGATTTCAGTGGCTCAGCAGCCGTAAGATTCATTTCATGTAATCGAATATACAAAACATTGCAAAATGCATGATAATTTAAAAGAGTGCTCTCAAACATCTCAAATAACATCAATAACTGCGTATGATCCTCATTTAACTACTGTCGCAGATCGTTGTGATACCGTTTCTGTTTTTACCTATAATATGGAAAACCTTCCGTCAATAAGGACGAGAAGTGAGCGAAGATTGCAGGCATAGGAATTGTGAAAATCATTATCGGTCATTGCAATCGTTATCGAATGAGTTCATTAATGCGAAAGTCAATAATGAAGTTTTGCGTTTAATGAAGTTGATAGCTGCTTTATTCATTCCTCACTACAATCCAAAGTTAATCTTATGGAGGTCATCTAAGTTAATGTGGCATTCAAAAGAAAAATGTCGACTTGCCAAGATAAACCAAACGAAGTGAGGAAGGTGATTGATGTGGAATTGAAAGTGGAAGTATTTAGGGAGTATAAAGTGGCAAAAACGTGTCGAAATTCACAAGTGATCTCAAATTGTCACATCCCAATGTTTCTATTACTACTGAGGATGAAGTTTGTATTCATGAAAGTGCAATTATTCAATGACGATGATCCTATTAATCCAACAGCGAAGGAGCTTCGTATTCCATGGAGTGGAGAATTTACTCAGCATTTGCAATGAATATGTGCACGATAAAACATACGCCTCATTTTTCTAACAATTCGCAGCAAAGCTCTTGCAATTAGTTTCTTCGACACTCTTGATGGCTTATTGAAATTATGGTGTTCCGATGTTATTCGAGTGCATTTAAAAACGTAAAATGATAGTATAACGATATTTTTACGAGCAATTCCACGACGGTACATGAATATTTATGCTCGACATAAAAGCGTGACTGTTTCGTGATAGTTCAAAAGGAATCGATCGATCAGCAACTATGAATATGGTATTCAAAACACCAATATATAAATTCAAAACAGCAATATGAACGCGCATCCTTAAAATCATCGATCACATAGTAATTGAAAGATTTTAATCGAAGAAGTTATTCCTATTTGGGGTCATATATGCAATTATGGGTGTATAATTACACAAGTCGTAGACGTCCAACTGATTCGACACATTCACGTCGACGACACATTCGTTGGATGTCGTCTTTCAATTCCTTAGTCGTTCATCGAATCCTTTTGATTCTCTTATCTATCCTTCTGATCCGATCAGGTGAGTGAATCATTATTGATTGAGCATTTCTCTGGAATGATCTGATGCGATATTAATCACCTGTTGAATGAATGCTTGTTCTGCCTAACACTAAATTATGTGCCCATTAACTTGTTTTGATAAAACTTGAGTTCATCAACAGCTGTTGCAAACGTTCTCAACAATGCATGGAGATAATGCATGTTGATAGGGAACTATTCGTTTCGAGAGAGATCTCCCAAAGTTTTTGTAAAGAACTACAAAATGAAGAGAACCATGCACAAGAGAAATTTAGGTGCAACTCTACATTTGCTCCTTAACGTGTATCTTCATAATGTGCATTTTCGAATAAATTTGCTCTAAATTTTTGCAAAATTTAATCATTATTTTCATCGACAGACTGCCAAAATACTTCTCCAAAAGTCGCCCTCAAAACTAAAAGTTTGAGACGTTGAGAGAAGACAATTTCATTGAGAATATTCAGACAATGTCTCAAATGAAAGCATTGCGAATGTGGACGTGCTGAACGATTTCGAGTTGAAAATTCTGCGCGATTTTGTTCGACGTCGAGGGAAGGCGTCATTTTCCAGGGTTCCTTTCGAGGAGATTCTACTGGAAAATGAACGACCGATTATGCCGATTCCTCAGCCTGCAAATTTTGCCAACATTGGAAGTCAAGTAAGTTTTCAATAGCCGAGGTTGCTGATGAGTATCCCAATGATCTCAACTCGCCTTTACTGCGAATCGTTGCAAATAGACTGTATGAGACAGTAATTCAATAGAGAAACATTTGGCCTTGTACTGACATTTCGCTATCAGTTAGAAATCTCATTTCATCAAAAATTCTCTCCTTGATGATTTCTGCATTCCTAGCAATGATGAATATTCACTAGCAGTGCTTAATACAAACACGCACTTTTTTCATTTTTCATGCATACATATCCTTACATACATGCAAATGTGTTTGATTAAGGCTGGTAATAATGCTGGATCAGATGCTTTCGATGCCGTTCAATGTATTTTTCATATGAAGTAATAAAACCGAACGGAATGAATATGAATTCGCCTTCCTGAGTTCTTCAGAACGTGTGAAACATAAAATATTTTGATTCGTACACTTCTGATCGCACACTTCAAAGCAGTTGAGAGAGTTGGATTAGAGACAAATTAAATAAATGTGATACTTCAGATGATTTCAACAAACGCTCCCTATGTAGAGCAACGTAATTATCTCAAAACTCATGCAGCAAAAAGTTTTCGTTCAGAACGTCTTGAATTCAAGAAACTCCACAACGAAAGGGACTTTGAACAACTCGCAGTCTTGCTGAAGGTGTTTTTTGCATGCAATTCTGTTTTTTCTTTTGATGTGAATTCAAACGGAAGACTTTAATTGGGTACTGTTTACTGTTTTAGAGTTGGACGGAATCGGATAACTTTATGATTTGGAAAGGACTTTTATAGCGCTCGATCCATCAGTGTTTTCCATATGGCACATTAAAATTTACAACCTCATCTTTGACCTCGCATTTATTTAAATGAAAACTAACTGGAATGTTTACTTCATGTCTAAATAATAGTTCATTCAATTCGCTTTGAATTCATGCGTATTTCATCGAGCGAAGATACTCGTTAAACTAATCAGACACTCAATCGATCATGATATTAGTTTCGTGAAACATCGACAGATACTTTAAGAAACTAGCGAGTCGCCGTAAAAACAAACCATCAAAAAATGTGGATGGTGGTCAGAAAGATCAATTGAAACGATGGAATCAAACAACTGGCTTATATGGCAACAACAACAACACCAGCAATATCAGTTCTTTGTCAAATTCGAATGCTCATCAGAAAACCTCAAAAATGGTCTCTGCAGGTGCATTGCGTACAGCAAAATTGGAATCAACTCCGTGAGTTCGTTCCATTTTAAAATCATTTTTTCATGAACATTGGGCACAGTCGTGAATATGGCGTGATGAGATGACATTTCAGAGATACAGTTAATCGATCGATGAGATACGATGAGCAGTCGGACGATGATGACGATATTTCATGGTTAACGTCCACAAATCGAGGTATTTCATTGTTACCTTCACCACTTTTGTAGTTGAATGAAACGTTCTCATCAATAAACTACATCTTTTTTGTCATTTTTATCGCTTTAGAATTTGTATATATATATATATTTTTTATGCCTGTTTATTTTCTCATTATGTTTATTATTCATGCTGATGTTATGATGAATATTACTACTGACATTGTTACGAGTGATATCACTGAGTTTGCAAGTGGAGTTTTGCATCAAACTGCAATCTCAAACAACGGTGTGAAATTGTGCTAATTATGAGATTGAAGAGTGCGATTTGGCTCGCATGAAAGCACTCAGTTAACGAACAGGTGCACGCACTCATTCGGTTGATGAACGATCTGTTGTTGATGCCAAAATATTTGTGACTGAATGTATAAGTTCGCGAAATGCATTCACTGCGAAACAAATGGATCAATTAGTTGCAGAAAAAAGCATTTTGTCTTCTCGAATGCAATCATTATTTCCCGCACTAACTGCTTATCAATCAGTTCAAAACAACTGAATTAGTGTATAACATAACAAACGACGCATTCAACTATAACAAATCGCGTTCAATCCTCAATAAACTACCATTGTTTATTTATCGATGCCAACTGCCAGCTTTCCGTTGAATAAACACTACACGTAATTCGATTCAGATGCGCACTGGGAGAATAAAATGCGCGAACTGAGTCGACAGCTGAACATATTGTTAACATCGATAAAACGGCAAAAAGACATTGATGAGGTGCTAACCAGCTATATCACTTTATCATCGCAGCAAATACCTCATGCAAGCGTTCATATTATCACAAAGGTTTTCTGTTCTCAAATTTTATCGTCAAAATAAGTCGATCAAACGCGTTGATGGATCACAAAACTTCCAAATGCTTTCATCACTTAAAAATCTGAATAATATTCTGTAATCTGAATAATATTCCTTCCAAAAAAACTATCAACAGTTCCCGAGGCTCATTCGGCTGCTCAGTTAGCATTTCAGCAATTATCTTCAGCTTTTTGCGAAACTCGTTCTGCCGTCGTTCGTGTTTTTTTGGATCAACTCTCGGCGTAGTCCATTGATAAGAATATTTTGAGGGCTCGATTGCGCAGCATAACGCGAACGAATATAAATTCACCGCTTCAGTTGTGCTGATTCAAGATGATCACATAAATATTCTCGTTGATACTGGACTGGGTATGGATCTCAATGCAACGGCAAATATGAATCAAGGTTGGCTTGGTCTGTTTTGCGGACTATAACGTGAACGAGGATGAATTGCGTTATGATCCGTATTTTTATGCTGACATTACGATTATTATTAACCTGTTATTAGTTATTAATCTGATGACGTGATCAGTATTATTGCTATCAGTGATATCGTTGAGTTTGCAAGTCGATTTTTTAAATCAAAATGCACTCTCAAACAATGGTTGGAACTGTTACGTACTCTTAAACAACGTTATGATCGTGTTCCGTTTTGCACACCCACATGCCTTTTTAATTGACCAATTCACTTGTCAAGTCAATCGTTCCACCCAATAATACATATATGTCTATCAATTGGAAAATAACTCAAAATGAGACATTTTCCAATTGATAGGCNTTTTTTTCGAACTGAAATTGGATTATCGTTTGAACGGTTGCGCTGATAGTAATTCTCAAGACAACGTGTTGCTTGCTGCACTGTTTATGTGATTGGTTCTGAATGGACACCTTCATCATTCCAGATTAAACTTATTTTCTTTTCATTCATTTAGAAGTTGGGAAAGGAACTATCGAATATTCGATTCAATGAACTGCAATATAAAAACCTGTGAAACTGTTCTCTTTATATTCAAAGCGCATAAAATGTTATACAGTTTCGAAACGATCCTTTCAGAACTATCAAAACTGAACGTTCAACCAACGGATGTGCATTATGTGATAACCACTCACGGTCACCCTGATCACTCTGGGAACCTGAATCTATTCGCGGATGCTACTCATTATATGTCTCATTATGTTCACTACCATAATCGTTTCACGTTCTCAAAGCTTTTCAAGGTAATTCCACGTGTATCGCTCCAAAATTAATCAAACTTCACTCACATATTATATTTATTCACTCACTCCACTACTGAGTGTGATTCTGGGAAGTACACCGTAACTCCTGAAACTTTCTACAACCAAGTTGACTGCAGTTATCATTTTTTTGCGATCATTCCCTGAATACTTTACTGGTGCTTTCATATTTTTACAATAGTTCTTAGGCCATGCGAATCTTTATTAATTAAACAGTTCTGCACAGAAATAGCCCAATAATAAAACAAATGTTCAGAATGAATCAGAGAGCGTCACATCGAACGTATTCCTACTCAAAACTCCCGGTCATACGTCCGACGATATTTCGGTGATCGTGCACAATACCAAAAACTTTGGAACAGTGGCTGTTGCAGGTATAAGCATTCAGATGCGGGATTGCATAGTGCGCGATGAGTTGTGAGGAATTTCAGATGCGAGTAATGAGATTCACACCAATTCCCGTCTAGAAAAAGTTTTCTTCGATTAAAAATGCAATTAAATTCTTCTTTTTTCGATAACAGTCAATCTTTTATTTTACTTTGAGTAACAAATAATTTTGAGAAATTTTAGTGGAAGAAAAAAATTTCATCGATTAAAATGCGATCAGTTAACAAAATTAAGATTTCGAATCACGCATGAGCTATTGTTTCCAGGTGATGTGTTCATTGAAGAGGGAGATTCAACAGAACCAGCCTTGTGGAAACGTTTTTCAGCGAATGAATCTCAACAAAAAGAATCTCGAAGAAAACTGATATGTCGTTGTGATTACATTATACCTGGACATGGCTCAATGTTCAGGGTTACTGAAACAATGAAACAACAATACAACTGTACCAATGATAATAGTTAATAACAATAATAATAACAACTTTCATCACATACGTTTCCAAGCGTGACATTATCGAACCGAATTTCGTTCTCACTTATTGTTAATCATTTCTCACTAATGGGCTTTAAGTGTTTATCATGCGATGGAATCATAAATTTCGCTGAAATGCCTCTATCCGAACGTGGCACATGATGTATTCACTTGAAAATGCATGCAATCGTTTTTGTGATATTACCAAATTTACTTTCTGTATTGAATATGAACGAATCCGAATGCTCAGCGCACACTACAGCGTCAACNATAAATTCCGAACGTTCCAATGATATCACTACGCGTATGAAAAAGTCAAATGCAAAATGAAATTCAAGCAGCTGATGAAAACTATATCTTTACAATAGTGTTTAAACGTGGCGAGTGCGTAAGGGACAAACTGCTTCCCAAAATTCAATGTATAGATGAACGCTGTCGCAAAAACCTATGTCAGTTTTCTATGTTCCATTTGATCAACCGAAACTGCACCTGTCCTTTGTCGAAAAGTTTACACCCCCTTCCCCTTTACGTAAGCCACTGAACAGCTAATTATTCATACAGTCATATTTCCCCACTCACTCTTCTTTCGGCATCAATTGCTCAATATTTCAACTGATACGATCTTTGAAATTTACATTTTTTTCGAAATAACTTTCGATGTCCCAAAGAAAGTCGTAAATTCAACGAGCACGTCAATCCAAAAAAGAACACAAATGTTAACATAAGATATTTATGTTCATTTGTTGACATTACTTTTTTTCACACCAATAAACATTCGCTGAATGAGCTGAAGTTCTATTTTAAAAGTTTGCGAGAAGGAATGCATTCGAAAAGCAAAGTAAATTCGAGGAAAAGTCGAATTATCCGGAACATTATCNCGTGAATGAAAAATCTATTTTTCGAAATCAGCCCTCCAATTGTAAAACTCGGAAGATCACATCTCGAAAACGGCAAATTTCAAATGATGGCTGCGGAAAAATTGATCACATTAGGCGAAAATTAATGAAGATGCTGATGTGAGTCGTAAATGTGAAATATGCTGGAATCACAATGACAACAGAGAACCAATATTTTGCACTGAAGTCAATTTTCGAAGAGATGAGGGGATCAAGTACTAATTATTGTTAGATGATCCAATGAATTCACTTTTTAGGCTCACTCTTTTTCAAGGGAGGTAGAAACTAACCCGATTTCAACACCAATCGCTTATTCGACATCTCACAATTATATGAAATCAAAAATCAAAAACTAAATTTGGGAAATTTATAATCCTCAACAACACGATACAAAAATCGAGAACATCCATGATGCCAACGAATCGAAAGCGGATTCTGGAGTGTACTTTCAGAGTGTTCGCACAGGACATCAGTATGATATCACGAAAAGAGTGTTCTCGTGTGAGTGTTCTTTGGCTCGGCACTGTTGAACAGTCCGAATGAAACGTTGAACACCATACATCAGAAGGGAATTTTGTGCACGCTTTGTACAAATTTCCATTAAGTTCAAGTGATCATTTCATTACGAATGCGCGAAACTGTGCTAAAATAGTCCGTCAGCTACAGATTGGCCGATTCACATGTGAATATTGCAATATTGAGACTCATCTTCAGAGCGAAGAATGAACTGAATGAAGGCGGAGGGGGGAAGGGGAGGGAGGAATCGCATCTCCATCCATCGTTGGTGTTTGTGAAATGTAAACTTGATTAGCCACGATAAGACAGAGAAACAATAATGAAACAAATTAAAGATTCTCTCGAATAAAGTGGCAGCAGGCATAAAGCATTACGAGTGATCAAATAAACTGCCTTCATGAAATGAAATGCATCGAACATTAGTCATTTCACAGTTACACAATTAAGTCGGTGTGTGCAAGTGAATTTCGAGTTGATTTGATTATTGCTGATAATAACGGTCAGTTATGATGCGATATTGCACTGATGCGACAATAACGATCTCATGCGATCTCATTAATCACTCACCCTCCCCCCCCCCCCCCCCCCCCCCCCCCCCCCCCCCCCCCCTTGCTCATGAACAATTCTATGGAAGCAATGCAAATCTAAACCAACAAACAGCAATGATTTGTCGGATCGCAACGCAAATATGATATGATAAACGTTCACCAGCACAAGACCCACCCTCTGCAAGTCCCGCCCTCAACTACGAACACGCCTTCGATCATCACAACCCCAACGACCCACACACACATTCGCTTTCGTGTCCATACGGCCTATGTAACAAATGCGTTCATGTTTTGCAGTTTGCCTATTCTCTGGCGATAATGCACGCAAGACGGGCGGAGCTTAACGGTCAAAGAGGCGGAGCGAAGAGCGGATAGGAGGCGCTTAGCGTGATGAAACAATAGGGTCGGACAGGATTGGTGTGTGGGTCCGTAGTGGTGCTACTATTTGGGCTATGCTATTCAAGTTGTTCTCGGCATCGATCGAGTCTTTATTGATGAGCGATTGAGAATATTTCGTCAATCAAGTTATAATCACCACCATTTCTATCATCAGCCTTATCACATCTAGCACATTCATTTCGCGTTTGATTGCAGCATTTACGTGAAATATCCATTGCGCACTAATTTGTAAAGTAGATGGCGGTCAATGGCCTATTTCATATGGCCCCCAAAAAAGATCCACTGCTTATGTGATAAGCATACAAGATCGCTATTAATGTTGTTGGGAAAACAGTCGCTGTCGAACAATTACGGCTGTTGTTGTAATTCGTTGCGTTATTGCGTTCGTACTGCATCGGTGCTGTATTCATAAAAATGAAAATTGACGTGAATATGATTATCATAAATTTATTTAAGCCGTTATGAAGCGAAAAATTAACAATGATACTGCAAATGAAAGCAGCAAGAGAGCAGAGGACATAATCGACGAACAAACATCGGAAAGCAGCGGTGAGTTATAGCGCTGTTGCAGATATCGATTGTATTCATTCTCCGTTCAAAATGTGCTGTTTTCATTGATTGTTGCGAAGGAATTGGAAAACTGAAATCGATTCTTCGTTGAAAAAAAAATTGAAGTTTCTTGGAGACTCCTCGCGAAATTTTGGAGTGGGCAACATTTAGATTACTATAACCTGTAGAGGTCGTGTAGAGAAGCAATCTGAATTCACCGTAGCATTGCATATGCAGACATTGGAAAGCTTCCTGCAGCAGAGGGTGGGCGTTACGTTCTTCGGAGATCATCGATTTTCATGATTTGCTGATATCTAGTGCCATGAGAAAGAAATGTATTTGAGTTTATTGAACTGTCGGCTATGGGCTTCTTCATTTGGTATTGTTCTCGCAGAGCAGTCCCGGAGAAGTGGTACTGTTGTTAAATATTTCAGCACTGAATTCGTCGATTGATGCAAACTCATCGCAAGATCAATCATCATCACTCAAAGAGGAAGGATCGTCGAGGCGAAAACGTGGTAGACCAAAGAGAACAGATGCGGTCACTCTACCGTCAACATCGGAATCCATTACTCAAAGGTATTTTCTTTTTAATGGCATCGCTTTCATTCTTCAAACGGTAATTTTTAACGAGCGACTCTGAATGGTGTTAAAAT